TACAAATAAACATGCTACCATCAGTGCCTACAACTTCTGAAAAATTCATTGGTAAAGCCAAATCACATTTGCTAACCCTTTTTCATAATTCGAGCCTGTCACCTCTCCTAACTTTAAAACTTTCAATTTGACTTCTGTTTGCTACACAGCCATTTGCTAGCGAAACATTGAATATAAGCGTCTGATACTTATGTAAGAGTAGCATAGGCTACTTACCCCGCCTTATCATCATGCATCAGCGGGTTACTGTATGTGCAGGAGATAGTTTATCAGACCACAAATGTAAATACGCATCCAACAACAGCCATGTTAATAAATTATTGTAGGGATGATAATTCCTTTACACTCCAGCCCATGATGATACTAAACAGAAATAGTGCGATTGTACTAATCACTACAGTATGACTGGCTACAATTATATTGCGTTTGCCATCGACCCGTGTTTGTCTGTGTAGGTTTCAGCTGTGTGAACGTCCATTTTCATGCACTCAGAAGAACGATAACGGCCATAAGAATATTAAAGAATTCTTTGAATATGAATCGAGCTGAAGCATTTATGATTATTTCATTATTTCATTATTCCACGTCACTCAGAGCACAAGACAACCATGCAATAACTGCGTGCACATTGATCTACATGAAACAAACTGGAAATTGTGGAAATGGGAAATTTGTACTGTTTGTCTTCCTCACATTTGTTTGATGGGAATATTTTAGGCGCATTTGTTTTTATGAACTTAATGGTGAGGCACTGGTGGTCATTCCTGTGCCATCAACCTGGATGCTTTGTTTTAGGCAAAGTAGACAGCAGTTATGAGGAAAGCGTAGTGCGTAGTCTACTGCTTCCTTCCTCTGAGTGGTACTCATTTATCACCCTTAGAAGGAATCGAGATGAGTGACCCCCCAACCGGGACTTGAACCAACCCCTCTGGGATTGAAGTTCACGTTCTACCGACTGAGTAACAGCTGCTTGAAGCAACATGGAGTAAATTCCTTGCTGAAGAGGATTCATGGTTAAAATGAAGACTGCCGTCGATCAGAGTCAAATGCGGCTATTCCAAAGTTCGGAACCAATGCCCTACGCGTTGTTGCATCACGTCAAGTGCATTTTTGCCAGAACATTATCTCTAGAAAGATTCGCTCGTTAGCACACAAGAAGATCGTCCCAGTGACGTGATAAAAACGAGAATGGTAAGAAACATTCATGTTGGAAATGTACCTGGAGAAATACATGAAAGCACAGGTCAGTGAGACACGTGACCGCTAGTCCGCTTCTGTTCTCAAGGTTTCTGTGATGATGAACC